CTAAAAACTCTGCAAAAGGGAAATGATTTTAATAAAAAGTATGAGAACATTCCAAAGAAATCCTGTAAACGGTTCTAAGCGAATTTTCAAAGTAATTAAAACATAGACAGATTTTTCTACCTTTGTAATGACTCATTGAACCTATCTCAATTGATTGTCAATAATCAGTAAGCTCAGTTTGAAGACTTAAGTTAACCCTTTGCATGAAATCAATCAGTTTGAACTTAGCTTGTGTTTTTATCCCGACCCATTATGTTCATTCTAATAGATAGTGTACGCTTCTTCTTCTTCTAATTCTTCTTCTTCTTCTTCTTCTTCTTCTTCTTCTTATTCTTATTCTTCTTCGCATTTTAAGCTTATTGCTGATCGCATATTAGCTTATTGCGTGCTCTCAATTTAGGGTTCGATCGAAATGCACTTCCACAGTTATTAATTTAGAGCTTTCGATGCCAATACCAATGCATTTTTTTTTCCTTCGGTTTGTTTTTTCCGTCGATCTTGTTTTCCGTGCTGAGCACCAATGCTGCCGACGTGCCAGGAAGGCAGCTCCCACACCTGGACCCTACCTATCGACCCATCAACTCATGAACCGGGGACCAACGGCTTTACTTCCCATCCGAAGGAAGGCGTGATCAGAGATGTTATGCCTCAGAACATCCCGGAGACGCCGACTGGGATTGAAACCAGGCCTACTGGGGTTAGAGGTAATCACGCTTACCACTACACCACCGGCGCCGTTTCACCAATGCATGAATTTGTATATTGTGTGGCTAGCACAATGATACTCTATGGCCAGGGAAGTCAAGAAAATTTTCAACCCGAAAGATTCCCTCGACCGGACCGGGAAGCGAACCCACCGCCTTCGGCTTGGAAATACCGTGCCTTTACTGACTAGGCTATGAGGTCCCTTAGTAGGACTCCCGTTATTCAAATAGTAAGACTCGAACTTAGACGAAAAAAGTAAATCGAAAATTTGGGACTAGACATTTTCCCGATACCGGATCTTGGAGATTTTCATGACATTACAGTTTGAAGATGTTCACCCTCATTTTTGCTTTCGAAGGAAACGGATTCTTCAGAAAACCAAAAAATCTGTATGCAAAAACCGTTTCATTCGAATTTATCCAAAAAGTGAAATTAGGGCATTCATCTGGACTTAGAAGAATCTTTAAATCCCTAGACTTTTAAAATAACGCTGTACTTTGAATTCTGAAATTACTGACAATAATAGATTTCAAAGCCTCTGACGTGAAATAAAATTAAATCTCGAACTTGACTTTTAAATAAATTATTGATCTTAACCCGTTTTTCATGGTGAACGATCCGGTCGTTATAAATGACGTACCTATAATAAATAAATATTTACTTTTCAACTAGCGAACGACTATCGCTAACTGAAATCCATTTAATATGTCAAACCGGTTTTCAAATACATGTGAAGTACATTGAAGTTCATTTGACACTGTCTGGAATTTAAATGTGACAGAATCCCGACTGATAAATGTCCTTAGGGTCTGTCCATAACCAAGTGGTCTATACTCATTTTAAAAAAAATCTATATAAATGAATGGTTGTCCACGCAGGGGGATGAGGAAGTCAAAACCCTTTCAAAAACTGTCCACTGAAAAACTGCGCGGTATATGGACAGCCTCTTAGGAAATGAAACATTCAACTTCATCAATTTACAATCGGGAAAGGACTCTCGGAATAAAGTATTCCTCAATCCCATCCAGTTGATGAACACACCCACGAACACTGTCACATCTGTCAACCCAAGCGCACCGAACGTCATAAAAAGACCATTCCCCTCGTCATCATGCCTATCTCACAATCGTTAATCACAGCGTTTGGTCACCGTCATCGCTCCTCACCAGTAGCACTAAGCATCTCCAATCTCGCAAACATTCTTCCGAAAACGATGACACTGATTTTCCTTCCAGTTTTATATGCCAGTCATAAAATAATAAGCACCATATTTTCCACCGACTGCGCTTTTAGGAGCCCATCATGCTGCCGGTGTTGTTGCTTCCATTACCCCAGACGCCGATGCAGATCCCATATCTCCGACGACGACTGCCTCTGCACCCTAAGCACGGCAAGAGTGCGGAGGACACCTTGAGCCGGAGACACTAAAGCGCGCTAAAGATGCAATTGTGAAAGAGAGGTTTTTATTGCAGCTGCCGAGATGCATTTCTTGTCTTCACAGACGACTTCAATTGCGTAGGTGAACCACGTCGTCGTCGTTGTCTCGAGTCTGACGCGTTCGTTCCCCGCCCGGAAGATTGTGCAAAGCGAGTCGTAATGCGATGGGAAAAAGGCCGATGGATGTGCGGGCACTATTGGCAGATGAAAAATGACTCCAAACGGCAAGATTTAATCATTTTTAAGTAGAAGTTGGAGTACCATCACTGAAGGGTGTGCTGCATGTGTTCTACAATTGCGCCTGTTTGCTGCGGTGCTTAGGAAGAGAAAATCCAAGATATTATACGACCCATCATCCTCTGATGTGCACGCGCGCGACGGCGTGTGTGGGATATTTACCGGTAATGAATGCTCTGAAACTGCACCATCCGTCGTCCGTCCATCGTCAACGTCGTATGGGTTACAACAGGGAAAGACACATATAATATTGGCAAAAATAGCCAGACAAACGACGCAAAACAATGATCCATAAATCAAACTGAGTCACAGTTACACGATCATGTACCTCTTCTTTTCGGGGACGATGCTCTTCGATCGTCGATGGTTGGCTGTTGGCCATGAAATTGAACTCATACGCCCTTCTGGTTGAACTAGAAACCAATCACGATACAGCCAGCGTGCACAGGCAGGGGCATTCGAGGTGTGAGTCTTCGGAGAAATGGATATTATAGTGCTCTATCAACCACGACTAGTGTTAGTGACTTGATAGGCATTGATTTGCCAATGCTAGTTGCACAAAACCCTCCGCATATCATTCTGCTTCTGCTCTCAAGCTCTGCCATATTCTCGAACTTTCATGTTTTTTTTATTGAAGTGGCGCTTATTTATTGTTAGTTCAAAAGGTGCTATACCCTTTTAATGTAATAACAAGAATTCAGAATGTTTTCAAAACATTGATAAAAGAATCATTAATTTTAAGCGATTGGTCGCGAGGAACATAATATCCGCGTAACACAGGAGCCTCTGTATACGATATACCTACGAGTAGGCTCTACCCGCGAACGGTTGGTTTTGTTCTCGCTGGCGCTGATTTCATCTGTTTTCCGCATATTTTTTAACTGTACCAAATCAAACAAATATTAGTTTTCGCGTATGGATAAGTGTAAATTAAGATCTATCACGTTTTAAGAAGTTTGTTTAGTGATATTGTAATTATGTGTTGCTGTGGTGTCGCGTCGGTCGGTTTTTCATTTCGCTTGTTTTTGGTGCTTTGCCTCCCTCCCAAGAAGAGTTTTACCGGGTATTTTTTTTTTCTTTTCTTGGTGCTGGCGTTCTGCCTTCCGGAGGATGCACGCGAATGAGGTGTCAAGCAAAAATTCGGTGCAAATCAAAAACTTCGAATGTGATTCAAAATGTCGTGTTGGGTTGTAAAAACAACGCGGAAGATTTTTTCGATTACCGCGAGTGAACAAACCGATCCTTTTTCGGAGGCAGAATTTGGTGAGATCCATCTGATTTATAATCAATCATAAATGCATATTTCCATATATTACTAAACACGCGCCAGATTTCGAAACATCACATTTCGAAATCTGGAAGTGTGTTTGCAGTACCATTATTCATATGATAACGGTAGTGTTTACATGCGGGGCTTATTGTATGTGAAAGTAACCTAGGAATGGAAGTGAATTACCAGGCATCCTAAAATGGGTTGCTGAATCTGCAGTAGAGCTATCGCTTTCTAACTCCCGGGCTAAACTTGCTTTAAATTATTACATCAAGGATTGTTGTAAACAAATTTCTTCCATAATACCACTGCCGGCCAGTGGAGGTTAGATTGAATACACACACACAAACACGCACACACACACACACACACACACACACACACACACACACACACACACACACACACACACACACACACACACACACACACACACACACACACACACACACACACACACACACACACACACACATACACACACATACACACACACACACACACACACACACACACACACATACACACACACACACACACACACACACACACACACACACTCTCTCTCTCACACACACACACACACACACACACACACACACACACACACACACACACACACACACACACACACACACACACACTCACACACACACACACACACACACACACACACACACACACACACACACACACACACACACACACACACACACACAGGAACCTCTGTACACATATATTGATAATTCCCATGATAGTTTCATTTCACAAGAGTTACTTTAAAAAGTTCTTAGGATTTTACTTTTTTACACTATTCGGATCATCATTCCACTGTGACCGGTAATTTGATCTACTGTACTGCCTATAATTACTGTTCGCATATGCGAGCAGAGACACCTATACGTCAGTGGGCATCATCGATCATCAATCTCGCCATCAAACTACCACTCCCCGTTCATCGATTATGGGATCGACCGTGCAGCAGAACTGTGCGTTTATTGACGTTTGTGCAGTTCCGACTGTTCCTTCTCTTTCTTCCGTTAACTGACAGCTATATAAGGAACCGCCGCAGCATAAATAAACCTCTTTGGTTGTTCTACCATCATATAGACGGAGCCCTTATCATCAGTGCCGAGTGATTGAGACGACAAAAATTGGACAGTGAGAATTTCATAAAGTGCAAAGTGAAATTGAAATAAATTTAAGTAAAGTTAATTAGTTTAAAGTTAATTAGTTTAAAGTTGATCAAAATAAATTGAACTGTGAATTAAGAAGAAATAAGTGAAGATCCTCCGAAATAATTATCTCAATCCGCTGTGGTTATCGACATTGGTCCTTCGAACCGGATTAGCGTGAACTCCGCTTGTCCGCCAGCCCGGAATCTTCATTGGACCCGCTGTATCGACGCCAGTCACGTGTCAAGGAGGTTAGCTGTTCTAGAACATTCATACAAGGCATTCGAATTGCCTTTACAAGGTAATTACCTTTCCAAATCCAATACCCCTGCCCTTTTGAGCTACGCGGTCTTCCGCTTTGCAGATCCGTTCTCTTCTTCATTTTCGCCATCGTTACGTCTACGATGTCTACGGAACGACGCATTAAAGGCCTCAAGACGCGCCTGAAGAGCCTGCTGACGTCATTCAACCTGATCAAAATGTTCGTGGACGAATACAACGAAGAAACGGATGCCTGTCAAGTCCCGGTGCGTTTGGAGCACCTGGTGAAGCTCTGGAAGGAGGTTAACGCGGTGCAAGTGGATCTGGAAACGGTGGATGAGGCCGCTGTAGACCAGTACCTGAAAGTCCGTACTGATTTTGAGTCAACCTACTACCGTGTGAAGGGGTTCTTACTTTCGGTCAATAAATCACCTGCTTTGGTACAGTCACCTAGCCCTCGTTCAAATGCGCAACCACCTCTACAATCGTCTTGCGTTCGACTACCCGACGTGAAGCTACCTGTTTTCTCTGGTCAACTCGATAGCTGGTTGAACTTCCACGACCTATTTGTCTCACTCGTCCACTCGTCGCACGAACTATCCAATATACAAAAATTCTATTACTTGCGGTCTTCCTTATCCGGAGATGCCCTCAAGCTTATACAAACCATCACGATCAGCGCTGACAATTACCAGGTCGCCTGGAAGTTGTTGACAGAACATTATCAGAACTCTCCAAGACTGAAACAGTCGTACGTAGATTCGCTCTTTGAATTTCCCTCGCTGAAAAGGGAATCAGCGACAGAGTTACACTCACTCGTTGAGAAGTTCGAAGCAAATGTGAGAGTACTGAAACAGTTGGGAGAAAGGACCGAATTCTGGGACATACTTCTGATACGAATGCTCAGCATAAGGCTCGACAACACCACTCGACGTGATTGGGAAGAATTCTCATCGACGAAGAATCAGATCACCTTCACCGACCTAACGGCTTTCATTCAACGAAGAGTCACGGTTCTACAGTCGATCAACAAGACAACTGAACCTCCTCCATCAACTTACACAAAGAAGCCTGTTCAGCGTCCCGTCACCAGCCATGGAGCCAGCCAGCAGAACTATCGCAAGTGTCTCGTCTGTTCCGATCATCATCCTTTGTATCAATGCGCAGTTTTCTCGAAAATGTCGATAGAAGATAAGGAAAGAGATGTCCGTCGCCACCAACTATGCCGCAATTGTTTACGAAAGGGCCACCAAGCGCGTGACTGCCCCTCCTCCAGTACTTGCCGCAAGTGTAGAAATCACCACCATACTCAACTCTGCCCCACCGAAGCTCCAGTCGCTGTGAACTCCAGGACTGCCGACGCCGCTCAACCGAAAGTTTCTTCTATCCCTGTATGCGAAGAACAACCGAGAAGCTCTGCCTCAGCCGTTACTGAACCCGTAAGCTGTTCGTCTTCTACATTGAAGGAGAAAAGCGTCCTGCTCGCAACTGCCGTGGTCGTCCTTGTCGACGACAATGGAACCAACCACGTCGCCAGAGCACTCCTCGATTCGGGAAGTGAGTGCTGCTTTATGACTGAATCTCTCGCCCAGCAGATGAAGGCCAAACGCACCAAGATCCACGTTCCGATTGCTGGTATCGGACAATCCTCAACGTATGCTCGTCACAAACTCCAATCTACTATTCGTTCACGCACCTGTGATTATTCTACCGCTGTGGAATTCTTGATCCTCCCGAAGGTTACAGTAAACCTGCCGTCAGCATCTGTAGACACCTCTTCCTGGGAAATCCCCCCGGGAATTCAGCTTGCAGACCCGTCGTTCTACGATAAAAGACCCGTCCAACTCGTATTGGGGGCAGAAATCTTCTTTGACCTCTTCAAAGTGTCCGGTCGGATTGAGCTTGGTGAGTCTCTACCGAATCTGGTCAATTCTGTCCTAGGCTGGGTTGTATCTGGAAAGACAACCGATACCCGTTCGACAAATCCCGTCATCGCTAACGTCGCAACAGTCACCGATCTTCATCGCTTAATGGAAAGATTTTGGACCATCGAAGAAGATAACGCCAGTACCTGCTACTCTGTGGAAGAATCTGCATGCGAAGAGCACTTTCGTCGGACAGTCTCTAGAACTCCCGAAGGTCGCTATGTCGTATCTCTACCAATAAAGGAAGATGTTCTCTCCAATCTCGGTGACAATCGTCGCACAGCTATTCGTCGCTTTCGTCTACTACAAGGTCAGCTCGCTAAGAACGACGAACTAGGCAACCAGTACCGAGCGTTCATGGACGAGTACTTTCAGCTAGGCCATATGGAGCTAGTACCAGACTACCAATCGCAACATCCTTCCTACCATTTGCCTCATCATGCCGTAATACGAGCAGACAGTACGACCACTAAGGTACGCGTGGTTTTCGACGCGTCTTGTCGCACATCGAATGGGCCATCCTTAAACGACGCACTCATGGTCGGACCCATAGTGCAAGAAGAACTAAGGTCGATAACAATGCGATCCAGAATCCGCCCTATTCTGCTCAACGCTGACGTGAAACAGATGTATCGACAGATCTTAACAGACCAACGTAGCAACAACCTACAGCACATCGTATGGAGTCCATCGCCTGATTCCCCTCTGCAGACATATAAATTAAAAACCGTTACTTACGGTACCGCCAGCGCACCATTTCTTGCCACACGCGTGCTCCAGCAACTGGCGAACGACGAGCAGCACGATTTTCCAGAAGCTTCCGGTATTCTTCGAAAAGATTTCTACGTGGACGATTTATTTTCCGGAGCGGACACAGTAGAAGAAGCTATCACACTACGAAAGCAGTTGGAATCTCTTCTCGGCAGGGGAGGGTTCGAACTGCGGAAATGGGCCTCAAACGAAGAAGCCGTTCTAGAAGATGTTCCTCAAGACAACCGTGCCCTAAAGACGTCCGTGGATCTAGACCGTGATCAGTGCATTAAAAGTCTAGGATTGCACTGGGAACCAACGACCGACCATCTCCGATACAAGATTGATACACCAACGACCGATAACACCCCACTCACCAAACGCATTGCTCTTTCCCAAATAGCTCGCCTTTTTGACCCACTTGGCCTGGTGGGACCCGTCATCACAACAGCGAAGCTGTTTATGCAAGCTTTGTGGACTCTAAAGACCAACGATGGACTGATTTGGGGTTGGGATCAAGAACTCCCAACGCCCATCAAGGAACGATGGCTCGACTACATGGCTCAACTACCGCTACTGAACGCACTCCGCATCGAACGTTTCATTCTCTGCCCAAAACCTTCTTCTATTCAGCTGCACTTTTTCTCTGATGCATCGGAGAATGCATATGGAGCTTGTTGCTACATCCGATCCTCCAACTTCACCGGCGAAACCAAAACTGCACTGTTAACCGCAAAATCGAAAGTTGCTCCGTTAAAGCAACAGAGTATTCCTCGTCTCGAGCTCTGCGGAGCTCTCCTTGCTGCTCAGCTTTACGAGAAAGTGTCTGCATCGTTGAAACTCGCAACCGATACGTACTTCTGGGTGGATTCAACTATAGTTATCTGTTGGCTCAATTCTACACCATCGACATGGACTACCTTCGTTGCAAACCGCGTCCCGAAGATTCAACTTGCGACACAAAATTGTAGTTGGAATCACGTAGCGGGGCAGCAGAATCCAGCCGACCACATCTCTCGAGGATTACCAGCAGAAGATCTCCTACACGACGCACTTTGGTGGAAGGGACCTCAATGGTTGGCACTCGACAAAGAATGTTGGCCAATCCAGCAACCAATCAATACAGCAGACCATAAAAGCATCCCAGACACACGAAAGTTATGCGCAACAGCTGTTCCAGTCACCGACAATCCATCATTTATCGATCTGTTTGTCACCAAATTCTCCAACTACAACAAATTGCTACGAGTGACTGCTTACTGCCGTCGATTTCTGCAGCACTGTCAACGAAAATCGAGACCAACTACTACCACCATCACCGTCGAAGAAAAACAGCAAGCAGAAGTACAACTGATTCGCCTTGTGCAACAACAAACTTTCGCCGCCGAATGGAAAAATCTTCAGCAGTCCCAACCTGTATCAGCAAAATCTCGCATCCGTTGGTTTTACCCCTTTCTATCGACCGATCAGCTGATCCGCATCGGAGGCAGATTGAAACACGCACAACAACCTTATGACACCAAGCACCAGATTTTACTACCGTCCTCTCATCCCCTATCGACTTTGCTCATTCGCCATCTCCACGAAATCAACTTACACGCCGCACCGCAACTGCTGCTCAATGTTCTCCGACTGCGGTATTGGGTCACGGGGGCCAGGAGCCTTGCCAGAATGATCGTCCAACACTGCGTGATTTGCGTCAAAGCTCGCCCTAAGCTAGTTCAACAATTTATGGCCGAACTTCCCGTCGAACGAATCACCGCTACCCGGCCATTCACCATAACAGGAATCGATTATTGGGGCCCAATTTCGCTAAAACCACTCCATCGTCGAGCAGCACCAGGCAAGGCATACGTCGCGGTCTTTGTATGTTTCTCTACGAAGGCTGTCCATCTAGAGCTTGTGGGAGACCTAAGCACCACCAAATTCATCCAGGCCCTTCGACGCTTCGTCGCACGTCATGGGCTGTGTGCCGAAATCTTCAGCGACAACGGGAGAAATTTTGTAGGTGCCAACAACGAACTACAGCATCTTGTCCGAAGCAATGAGCATCACCGATCAATCACCGAAGAATGCGCCAACAACGGGATACGATGGCGTTTTAATCCTCCTAAAGCCTCACACTTTGGAGGTTTGTGGGAGGCAGCTATTCAGTCCGCTCAAAAACACTTCGTTCGAGCTGCGGGAACAATGAAATTGGATATGGAAGACATGCAAACTCTGCTAGCACAGATCGAGTGTTGCCTTAACTCGAGACCGTTAGTACCTCTCAGCGATGATCCCACCGACTTCGAGCCCCTCAGTCCAGGACATCTCCTCACTGGATCGTCTCTGAAGGCCGTTCCAGATACTGATGTCACCACCATTCCATTCAATCGCCTGAGACACTTCCAACAGCTTCAGAAACTATTGCAACAATTTTGGCAGCGATGGCATATCGAGTATCTCTGCACTCTTCAAAGTCGCTCCAAATGGATAAATCCTCCAGTACACATCCAAACGGGCCAGCTTGTGCTTCTGAAGGAGGACAACGTAGCACCTATCCAGTGGCCTACTGCTCGGATCGTCGATTTGCATCCAGGGAAGGACGGCATTACTCGCGTCGTCACATTGAAAACACCAACAGGACAGTATACTCGACCGGTTTCGAAAATCGCCATTCTGCCAATTCCTCCTTCTGATATCCAGCGAACAACATCAAATGAAGCAGAAATCCATCCACAAACGTTTCCAACGAAGAGCACCTGAAATAAACAATTACAAGACAAGGGACAACAATCAATGCAAAACACCACCGCCAACGCAAGCATCAATTGACGTTTCTCATCACAACATCGAGTTGATCGACAATCGACGTGGGGACAGCATCATCATCTTGTACATCGATTAAACAGTCAGAACGCGATCTTCGAAGGGGCCAGTATGTTCGCATATGCGAGCAGAGACACCTATACGTCAGTGGGCATCATCGATCATCAATCTCGCCATCAAACTACCACTCCCCGTTCATCGATTATGGGATCGACCGTGCAGCAGAACTGTGCGTTTATTGACGTTTGTGCAGTTCCGACTGTTCCTTCTCTTTCTTCCGTTAACTGACAGCTATATAAGGAACCGCCGCAGCATAAATAAACCTCTTTGGTTGTTCTACCATCATATAGACGGAGCCCTTATCATCAGTGCCGAGTGATTGAGACGACAAAAATTGGACAGTGAGAATTTCATAAAGTGCAAAGTGAAATTGAAATAAATTTAAGTAAAGTTAATTAGTTTAAAGTTAATTAGTTTAAAGTTGATCAAAATAAATTGAACTGTGAATTAAGAAGAAATAAGTGAAGATCCTCCGAAATAATTATCTCAATCCGCTGTGGTTATCGACAATTACATATCAGTCCCACATGTATTTTCGTCAATTTCAAGATAACAACGTTATTCACTATCAATTGACATTTACATCAATTGGTATATTACGTGATAAAACTACACGGCAAATAAATCTCAATTTTAATTGTGATGTGAATATTCATTCACGTAAACTTGTTATTCATTTCACACAAAAGAAAAACTTATAAGCAATGTTGTTTACAAAGATGGGCTTTTGTATAGAATATTTCAACTTTTAATAAAATGTCTCAGACTTTTACACGATTTATAATGTAAACTTATATGATATGTGACGCTCCATTTATGTGCATTATGAAAAATCAAAAATGTGAAAACAACATCAAGTCAGATTGTCCCATTAAGCAAAGTAATCACATATCAATCCAATCCTGAAATTAGATCGTCCCTAGGTCAAGTTACAGTTCTGCTTTTTTATCGCCATATTTTTCGCAGATGGTTACGTTTCACTGATTTCAACTTTTAAAAAATCCATTAATCTACTATGGTTTTTCAAATATCAACATGGGAATTGCACTTCGTAACTTCAACTACCAATATGAGTCTGCCATTTTCTCAATGCCTACTTTTTTCCATATAGGACTGATATGGGATTATAGACAATGTAGTACACAGTTTGAAAAAGTAGTGTAAATTTCTGTTTAATATGATGCACGTGAATGAATATTTACATCACGATGTAGGTATATTCCGTGTCTTTAGTTTAGTGAATGTCGTATTACTCCATCACCAATGAGAAATGATGTAGTATTCGGTTTAAATTCAGTGTAATTTTTGACTTCATCGCAACCAATTCTAAAGGCCCACGCACATTAGTTCCGGATCGGACGCGTGACAGCTAAATCTATTGTCTAACTGTCAAATTTACGTCAACGCAACGCAAACGGATCTAATGTGGGTGGCCCTTAATTGTTAGGTCCCACTATTCACACTCTTCGGAGAGTGAAAGCACCCTAGCACGATTTTACCTAATAATCATCCCAGAAATTCTTCATAATAGTTTTCTGAATTACCCTGCAAGAATATTGGGATTCTCCCTTGAAATTTTCTTCATGATACTCATGTAATTTTTTGCGCAATACTCTGAGAATTTTTACCACTATTTAAATAAAATCTTCAAGTCTACACTAACAATGCAAAAGGTCCAATGTACAGCTGTGTTCGATAAAATAGCAGCGCATGCCAATTTTCATACAAAATGGTCAACTTTGACATGATGTAACTTTGTTAACTTATGATCAGTTGAGCTGAAATGTTCGCCAAAGAACTACAAGTATGTTCAATTTTACGATTACAAAATATTAAATTTTTGGAAGCACCTGCCGGAAAGTGAGACAACAGATAAAATTGTTCAAAATAATAGTAGTTTTTTTGTATGAAAATTTACATGTTGCAAATATTTCAAAAAATTTTAACTATTATGTACATTTGTTAATTGGGTGGGGATTGTTAGAATTTTGAGAAATGTTAAATTTAAAATCTCAAAATTACGCTGAAATGAAAATTATTAGTACTGCTATTATTTTGAACAATATTACTTGGTGTCGCACTTCCGGCAGATCCTTATAAAAATTTAATATTTTGTAATCGTAAAATTGAACATATTTGTAGTTCTTTGGCGAACGTTTCAGCTCAATTGATCATAAGTTAACAAAGTTACATCATGTCAAAGTTGACCATTTTGAATGAAAATTGGCATGCGCTGCTATTTTATCGAACACAACCGTAACTCTGATCGATTATCTTCCTCGATTTTTTTTTTGGGTAAAGACAATCACGTCTGTTTTTGATAAACAATTGGGTTCTTTACGGGTATGAATTTTTATACGGAGATCGTAGTGAGCTGTGCTCGAAGAGAGACTTAGAAAATTTTCAGCCGTCAATTTTTGCTCCGTTTTTTCTAGACTTTTGTGAAGTTGTAATTAGTGTTCCTTCAACTATTTGCCACCCCAGAGTTCTTAAACCACTGATCATCTCGGAACCTAGCACCATTGGTTGTTCTTTGTGGCTCTTTGTGTTCCTTACAAGTGGGTCAGATTCTCCGTTTAGCAGCCTGAATCCATTCAGCCACAATTGTGCTTTCATCATCTGACTAATCAACTGATTGGCCATACAGGATTTTTGGTTCGCTTGTCCGATACTAAGAATAGGAAAACCTATTTTCGAGCCCAGTCAACCAACCCTTGAGTATGGAGATCACTGTAACAGGACATCGTTCATGGATCAATTTGGTGAGTCCGTTGCAATTTATTCTGGTGCTTATAATTGGCAGGATCCAATATTGGACAGTTTGATGTTTATAAAGTGCTATCAGTTAAAACTGTGTTTTTGAGATTTGTCTATATATATTCTTTGGTGCTTCCTACATCGGTTGCAGGACAGTGTTACCGATTTATATTGGATAATCCAAAGCTATGTTGATCATTATAACATTAAATTTTGAATAACAACCCTAATAAACAAATACCATAAACGAACTGTATCTCGGATAGGTAAACCATCCCACATAGGGTTTGGATGATACCCCGAACACGTCGTTAAGCTCTCTTTTATGGTTATTTTTATTAGGGAAATGATAAGACAATCTTATTCAAATGTCGTAATAATACCTCTGACCAAGGAAGAATGATTTATATAGTTTTCATAAAAGTTGACGATACAAATACTAATGAGGAAAGGAATTCCGCATTTCCTTTTCCCAAGTCCTTTTCCTCTCCTTCCCTTCCCTTCTTCTCTTTTCAGAAAGCGAGTAATGGCGCTATAACCATATGCCATATAGGGCTAGGACAAGAGTTAGTGCTCAGGTCCCAACCGCTAGAAGAAAATGGTAGCGAGCAAGGGCGCTATAACCTAGGCGAATACAGCATTCCCTCCGTATAGGTTACGTCCGCACACCGCTCTCTGTTGTCCTTCGACTGAGGTCGGCTGGATCGATTGAGGGATGGCAGTGGGTTGGCGGTGCCGTCCACGCTTGTACGGAGGGAGGACTGTACGCTCGAACACAAGGGGTAAATACCTGTGTTCCATCCCAGGAGATCGGACAATCAAGGAGTGTACATTAACTTTCTTAGCTCTGTCACTCCCAACGATTTATATAGCCTATTTTCAAATCCTGCATACGGAGCGGTTGGTACGGTATGTCCCCGCTCTTTGATTACCTGTGGATTAAATGTTAACCACTGTCTATACTTATTAAGTAGACATGGTAAACATTCACTTCCACAAAAATTAACTTAACGCTACACAGTAGGCCTGGCCGCTTTATTGTTTGTTTCACATCCTTGATGTGCAGCAAGCATTAATAATGACAAGAAAAATGATAGATGTATCATTTTCCAGGATTCTTTCAAGTACTGGCTGTGTATGTGTAGACTAGACTAGACTAGACTAGACAATTGGGTTCTTTACGGGTATTGAAGAAAATGCATATTCGTAAACTGCATTTAAAATGAAACTAAAAACCAAAATTTCATCAATAAGTGTGTAATTGCGCTGGCAAAAATCATTATCTTAGCGCCCTCGGTGGGACTTTGTATACGCTATTTTACGTGACGTCTTGATGACAGTTCCTGGCGGGCCACTCGAACGCGCTCAAGGCATTGTTATTGTTTACGTCTGATGTTTTTGTTTTGAATTTGGTCGTATTTTGATTTTGTATCGTGTGAAAGTGAAAATTAAAAATGCCTCCGAAAAAAATTCCTAAACATATCGCAGCAAAACTGTTGAAAACTGCATCATCTTCAGCGCGATCAGGTAACATAATTAATTGATCTTAAGATGCCGTTAATTTCAATAAACATGCTTTTAGATTCCATCACTTTAAGCAAGTATGCCGCTGCTTTGGCAGCAGAGCACCTGGAGCGGTACGTGCAAAAAATTACAGTGATTGGAAAAGATCCATACCTGCTGCCAATGAAAAAAAGTGAGCTTCCAGAAAATGTGTCGTACGAATCGATTATTAACTACGCTCTACACAAAAAATCGGCTTACACTGGTGAAAGTATGCATTGTAAGTAGCTGTAGCGTTTTTTGAACTGCAGTTACAAAAAACTGAGACCACCGAAGAACATGAACATGAACTGATGTCAACAAATCGGCCCGCTGGTAAACGTCAAAATAGGTAAACAGAATAAAAACAGCTGACTCTAAACGTCTCGTAAAATGCCTTATAAGGGAAGGTCCATTAATTATGTCACGCAAATTTAGTCCATTTTCAACCCCCCCTCCCCTCTTTGTCACATATTTTGTATGGAACTTAATTTTTTTTTGTATGACTCGTCACAGTTTCCAAAACCCCCCCTCCCCCCTAAAAGTGTGACATAATTAATGGACGACCCCTAAGAGCTAGCTGTCAATTTGTTAGTTAAGTGTCAAACAGTGAAGTAATTATAATTAAATTGGATCTTTCGGTTGAGACGGTTCCTTTTTGTTTGTTTAATTTTATTTTAAACAGGATTGGACTTTAAATTTAGGAGCTCGGCTAGCTTG